TGCATTGGTTTTTGGCATTCAAATCAAGASACAGTAGTTTCACTTATCTAAGGGGATTTGTTCCAAGGCTCCACAGGATGCCAGAAACTGTACATAGAATTGAACTCTTATGTATACTCTTATGTATACTATGTTTTTTCCTACATACATACACTATGATAAAGTTTAGCTTGTAAATGAGACAAGATAAGAGATTAGCAACAATAACCAACAAAATGGAATAATTATATCATTATGTTATAATAAAAGTTATCTGAGGGCTGGGGTTGTATTGTARCTCAGTGGTAGAGTGCTTGCCTCACATACATGAGGCACTGGGTTCAATCCTCAGCACCACATACATAAAAAAGAAACACTTGGCATATTTGAATTGTCAGCATCACCACACTTGCACTTTGGGTCCATTATTAAGGAAAATATCTAATTTTTCAATTTTTCTAATTGGCAGAYATTTAATAACCCAGATGACTGCCAAGCAAGGCATAAATGGGTATACAGCGTAGGGATACCATACAAGAAGACAATTCATACCCAGACAGGTCAAGGCAAGGTTTCACCAAATTATGCAGAATAGCAAGCAATTTAAAACTTATGAATTGTTTATTTCTGGTCTCTCCCATTTAATATTTCTGTATTGTGGCTGACCAGAGAAAGCAGGGGGCTATTGTACATATGGTCACTACCTCCATGCCTGATACTAATTTAATTAATTCATATGCTTATATTCTAAATAGGTGAGGAGAAACACCAGATCATCTGGGCTCATTGATAACATACTAAAAAAAAAAAAAAACCTAACAGAAACAAAAACAAAACACCCAGTGCTATATTCCAGAAATATAAAACTAACATAAATTTATTCTTTATTATTATTATTTTTGACAGTGCTGGGGATTGAACCCAGAGTCTTGTGCATGTGAGGCACAAACTCTACCAACTGAGCTATATCTCCAGCCCCCGCCAAATTAACATAAATTTAAAAATAACTCTTAACACCAGTGTTACACAATAAGAAACCTGTGTTAKGATACTTCCTATTCTTTTATAATCTGGACATTTCCTATACATGTTTAGAGTAACATTTCTACAGTACAATCAATCCAGTAATAAATCTGAAAACTGTATAACTAGTCACTTCATGACTTTAAAAGCCTATAATTCACATGATAGGATCCAGGACTTAGGGCATAAAACTGAATATCTGACTTCCACAACACAGTAACCTCYATAAAATGTACCATATTAGAGTCTGTTTGCTTTTGAAATGCCAGGATTGTTTTAAAGTGGCAACAAAAAGGCTGGTTTCTTTTAGCTCTTTCTGAAGAGAAGCTTCTAACTTTAGGGCAATTTTAGTAACACTAAGGACAATGGCACTGAGACTGATTTCTTACACATTTTTTAATAGACTGTATTACAAAATGCTCTATCAGATTGGTGGCAGGAATGAAGAAGTCACAGGCATACCTTATCTCCTACCCCAGTCATACTAGGAAATACTTTCTAATAAGATTTCATAATTCTTATGTAATAAATAAAATATAAAAGTATTTACAGAAAGATAATAATTTTACAGCTATGATTCCCTGGATAAGAATATTGTATACACAGATGTTACCTGGACCATAAAATATGAATTCCTCCTGAAGGTTGGCGGGTGAGATTCTTAATTAGCACATGTGGCATTAAAGAACAGTTATTCCTCTATCAACCTACTTCCTTTTCTCCTCTGACCTCTCTTTCCATACAACACAAATCTCCAGATCTCAAAAAAATATAATTGCCCACCTCATCAATACCCCCAAGAGTCTTTACCTTAGAATAGACAATTCAGAAGCTCAATGGTGGTAATGAAAGTTGATAAACCCTAAAATGACAACTGTCTGAACCAATAAAGTTGCCTTCAGTGCAATGTCATCAGTTTATTGCAATTTCATGTAACCTTGGCTCTTCCAAAAATATGTGGAAGCCCACAAAAGAAGGTTTCTTTTTTTTTTTTTTTTTTTTTTTTGGTACTCGGGATCAAACTCAGGGACACTCGACCACTGAGCCACATCCCCAACCCCATTTTGTATTTTATTTAGAGACAAAGTCTCACTGAGTTGCTTAGCACTTCGCTTTTGCTGAGAGGTTTAAATTCTTTACAGTGCTGTTTTATTACTAAAATGGTCCAAGCTGAGGGTAGAGGGGGTGGCACATGTCTGTAATCCCAGTGACTCAGGAAGCCAWGGCAGGAGGATCAGAAGTTCAAAGCCAGCCTCAGCAATTTAGTGAGGCCTTAAGCAACTTAGCAAGACCTTGTATCAAAATAAAAAATAAAAAGGGTAGGATGTGGCTCAGTGGTTAAGTGTCCCTGGGCTCAAGCCCCAGTATTAAAAAAAATTWWAAAAAAAAGTCCAGTTGTAAAATAAAAAACAACTCTGTATTCATAACCTCTTAGTACCGATTCATTGTCTAAATAAAGAGATCTTTAATAATCTTTTATAATCCATTGATAAGGTTAATATCTTGGAGAAAATGTATTTTCTCCATGGCTAAAATGAAAGGCATAAGAGGTAGCTGCAGTACAGGTGGGCAACATTACAGCAGAAGGGCTCTTTCTTTTACATTACTGACAACTCGGATCAGGTGTGCTGAGAACAAGAGGAAGGAAGCAACGAACAAAGGAAATGACTGATGTTGACTTTAAGAATACATTTGGAAATATACATACACCAACATCTAGTATTCCTTCTATCCTCTGGTCTTGAACCCTAATCATTCTGTCCTGAAAGGGGTTCAGAAGGCAACCCTGGGTGGGYATTTGCAAAGTACATATCTAAGGTGAACAATTAAAAATGAATGAGGGGATGGGGAGCTCAGCTGTAGAGGACTTTCTTAGCACTTATTATTAAGTTCCCTGGACTGGCCTCGAACTTGTGATCCTCTTATCTCAGCCTCCTGAGTCTTTGGGATTACAGGTGTGCGCACCAATGGCCAACCAGTTTTTTTTTTTTTTTTTTTTAATATTTATTTTTTAATTATCAGCAGACACAACATCTTTGTTTGTATGTGGTGCTGAGGATCGAACCCRGGCCACACGCATGCCAGGCGAGCGCGATACCCCTTGAGCCACATCCCCAGCCCCACCAACCAGTTTTTTATTCTTATTTTTTCAGATATAAAACTTGCTGGCCCTGGGTTCAATCTCCAGTAGTCCAAAGGGGRAAAAAATAACTTAAAAATTTAACCAGAAAAATGTGTTCTAAAACAAAATGCAAATAAGTATAAATGAATTTATAACTTATTCAAAGCTGTTTCTTTTCTTTTTTAAAAATATTTTTTATTTCTTTATTGTGTTTATTTTTTTAATGTGGTGTTGGGGATTGAACCCAGTGCCTCACGTGTGCTAGGTAAGCACTCTGCCACTGAGCCACAACCCCAACCCCTCAAAGCTGTTTCAATGACCTGCAGAGAAAACAAAATATTTTTTTGAGTGTGTACCATATGCTAGGCATAATCTAAGAGCTTTATATAGGTTCTCCCATATAATACTAACAATGACTATGAAAGGTAAGTGGTATTATCCCACTTTTAAAGATGTGGAAATTAAGAAAGAAGTTTAAATAACTCACCTAAGGTCACACAACTAATGAATCTTAATTCAATAAAATTAAACCCAGGTCTATGACAGATTTACATACTAACTTACATATACACCATCATTAAAAATGTTATAATCCAGTCCGTAATGAGCACATTCTAATCTGGACACCATGTGGGGAAAAAACCTTACCAGTATCACTCTATTAACTGTTTCTTACTACAAATCATAAAAATAGCCAGGTGCAGTGGTGCACACCTATAATCTTACTCAGGGGGTTCAGGTGAGAGGATCACATRTTTGAGGCCAGCCTCAACAACCTAATGAGAACCTGACTCAAAACAAAAATAAGGACTGGAGATAAAGCTCAGTGGCAGAGCATCCCTGGGTTCAATCCCCAGTATTGAAAATAAAAAAAAGAATCATCATAAACACTATGAATTGGCTAAGCCTACCTTCCAGAGCCAGTCAGCTTTTCTGACATACCTTATGAGCCTCAACCTTAGCACTCTTCTCTCATGCTGTTGAATGCACTGGATAATTCTGCTAAGTATTCTTCACACCAGGTACAACCACCGTGTGTGTGTGTGTGTGTGTGTGTGTGTGTGTGTGTGTGTGTGATGCTGGGACTGAACCCAGGGTCTTGTGTATTCGAGGCAAGCACTCTACCAACTGAGCTATATCCCCAGCCCTACTGTATTTTTTTAACCAAAAATTTCCCCACTATATTCTGAAAAGTTGGAATTCAGAGACCGTGTGTGTGTGTGTGTGTGTGTGTGTGAGTGATGCTGGGACTGAACCCAGGGTCTTGTGTATTCGAGGCAAGCACTCTACCAACTGAGCTATATCCCCAGCCCTACTGTATTTTTTTAACCAAAAATTTCCCCACTATATTCTGAAAAGTTGGAATTCAGAGACAGGTCTGAGACACCAAATAAATGCAGCATCATTCACCATCCCTCAGCTTTTAGTTAGTTACAAGTGATTATTCTCTAAATGGCAAATGTGACAACCCAGAGCCCTCTGAGAGTGGAAGAAACCTGATTTGACAAAAGGCTGAACAGAATTCAGGCAAAATAATTCTTAGTTTTTTTTACAGTTTAAAAAACATGATCCACATAAAGGCAAAACACAAGACAAATGAACAAGAAAAAGAGGGAGACACGGGATGGGGGACACATATTCACTTCTAGGCTTAAGTCATTTGAAGACRGACAGCCATAGTCTAGGACAGAAAGTCAAAACACAGCAAATTAAACTTGGAAAAGTAATTTAACCAAAGCTGGAATGCAGCCAAGAACAATACCCAAACTCTTTTGGAAATTGTGATAGGAATTTCGACTTAAGTGGTCAACACTTAAGCATTAGGGCAGGGTCTCTCTAGAACTTAGGAATTTAAATGCCTTCAACTCCCACTCACCTTTCCTCCTTTTATCACTGAAGTAAGGCCAGGCTGAACTCCTGAGAAAATAGGTCTGCAGATTCACTGAAGGACTGAGAAAAGTTAAAGTTTACATGGCAAAGGTGTCTATTCTAATAAACATAATAAAAATATTTATGAGTACATTTTAGTATTTTTTTTTAGACCTCCTCTGAACTATTTAAAACCAGAATAACTTATCTGACAGCTCAACAATAATCCCCACACACAGGGAAATAAAATGAACAAATCCAAGGATTAGAAGCCAGGCAAGCTAAGATATCCTAGCTCCACTAAAACCAGAAGTCATTTAGAAGGAAAACCTGAGTCTTTTCAACATTAAACCACAACCAAACAACCTCTCAACAAGAACGCACGAGGCAGGGAGTGGGGGTGGGAATCTCGGAGAGAATGTGATAGCGCTAGTGCCGGTTTGTTTACAGAGACTCCAGCAACAATCATATGAGTCAGAAATTCAAGCCGCCAGATGCTTTCCAACTAACAGGGACCAAACGGGACCGTTCTAAGGTGTCCTAAGCGATTTGGAGGTGGGAGTTGGTAAACTAAGAGAATCCTATCCTAAAGAGGACAAGACCAGACGGCAACAACCGACTCCCGGTTCCTTGGACCTCGGCATTCCGTACAAGGTGCTGGGCCTGAGAACTTGGGATGGGGGAGGGGGACACATTGCGCGGTGGCCCCGAGGTGACGGGGAGACGCAGGGCGACTCGCATCCCCCAATAGAAATAAGAGCACACAAATGGGTCACCCGACGAAGCAAGAAGTCCCTGTGAATTATGGGGGTAGCTCTTGGGGGCAACCCCAGGGCAGACCTGTGGATAGGACAACCGGTCCTCCTGACAGTGACTCGGGTCAAGGGAAGGAGAAGGCCTGAGCCCCAGGATCTTGGAAAAGGGATCAGGACTACCCTGTGGGGTACCGGCAAGGGAGAGGGGGGCAGGCCGAGCCGGAACGAGACACGGACCGGGTAGGTCAAGGGGGGGGTGTCCGGCTGGGGCAGTTACAAGCACGGGAGCCGGCGAGGCTCAGCAGCCCGCTTCCCGTCTTGGGTCATCCTTCTGCCAGCGGCTGCTCCGACTGTTCCAGGCCCAGCCGCCCCGTCCACTGCCGCCACCAACGCCGCCGCCATCTTACACTGGCCAGCGGCCGCCACCACCACCGCCTCCGCTCTCTGCGCCTGCGCTTGCGCCGCCACGCTTTCCGGCCTCGTTTGCGACGATGTGCTCGAGAAGACTGAGGAAAGAGTGGTCGCGCGAGCTCACGGCTCCCAACCCTTCACGGAGGACGCATAAGGGGCGGGGCTTAAAGTCAACGGAAAACTGTGTGGGGCGCGTGCGCATTACCGAGGAGGCAAAAGTTGTTTTCGTAATGTTGCGGAGGGCTGGCGTCTCTCGTGATAACTCAAAACACGTGCGATTTAGGGGCTTCCCAGAGTTGTGATGGAAATAAACTTCGTTTCCAAGGGTCTGGTAGGCAAATTCCTGGGTGACCACCATTCTTACACACCCGGAACGAGCAATTATCGACAGATTTCTTCAGGAAAAAAAAACCCTTTGACGACTTTCGTTTCCGTCAGCGGCTTAAGGAGGCGCACGTTCCCGACAGTCCTTATTTATCCGTCTTTGTCAAAGGGGCTCAAGTTTGAGGTGCAATTAAGCTATTCAGGAGGCTTTCTTCGAAGAGGGGTGATGTGAAGGTTCCCAAGAATGGGTCGGTGACGAAGCGTGATTTTTGTACACTCTGCTTCGCTCTGACACCTAAAGGAATCCTGTAGAGGATTACTCCCAGCTGCCGGGCTGGGGATCCATCGATCGGTCGGTTTTTATTTCTTTATCTCCCCGCCCCTTTTARCCAAAAGGTCAGGGTGCAAGAATTGGACCTTTCTACCCTTATCATCCTATTCCAAGTCTTACATTACTTCACTACTTGGTGCAATAGGCGCTCTGCTTCCATCGCTGCCCTGCTGCAATTAATCAGGACAGCTGGAGTGACTTTTTAAAATGGAAGTCGGGTCATAGCCCCCTGCTCGAAACCTCTAATAGTGTCTGACTACGTAATAAAAATCAAAATTAGCAGTGACCTCCACGCGAGGCTCTCCATGATCTGGCACTTATTTCTTYGATTTTATCTCCTCCCACACTGCCTAGCTCTGCTCTGACCTTTTTGGCTGTCACTCAGACCAAAGCAGATTCCAGCCCCAAGGCTTGCTCCCTTTTCTTGGACTGCGCATCTATTAAATCTTTATTAGACTGGATTTTTCCACTTAAATCAGGTCTAGTACACCAGCTTGTATTGCGTTTTTCACAAATTTTTGCCTATAATATTTAATATATAATTATGTATTTTTAATCTAACTATCCTATAGAATATAAGCTCCTGGAGGCARGAACTGTGTCTAAAAAACATCTTTGTAATTTAACACGTAAAACAGGGCTGGAGTGCAAAGTAGCTATTTTATGACSACCATTATAATTTATTCTTTCTGCTAGTCAACTACTTACTGTACTACTTATTTGGGAGGGTTTGTTCTAGGTGCTGGGGKTACAGCAGTAAATAAAACCAAGATTCTAACATTCATGGAACTGACTACTGGAGTAGATGGGAATGTAGTGTGAGAAGAGACAAAAAGTAGCACAAAATTCTGAGAAGTACTGTAAAGGAAAATAAAAGTGGGTTATGGGGGATGCTCTTTTACTTTGGGAGTTTGGGGAAGGCCCCTTTATTGAGGTGACATATGCATAAAGACCTGAACTATGAGAGTGACCCATGCATACTTGGGAAAGAGCATTCCAGTCAGAGGGAAAAGCAAGCTAAAGACTCTGAAGCTTGAGTGTGCTTAATTAGAAAGCCAGTGAGCAAAAGAACAGGTAAAGAAATTAGTTGGAGGATGAGCCAGGTCACTTACAGACTTATAGACCAAGGAGAGACTGAATTTTATCCTATGAAGCCACACAGGATTTTGAGTAAAAGTCACATCATCTGAGTTATAACTGAAGTTTCTTTTTTTTTTTTTAATATTTTTGGAATGGGGGATTCAGCCTAGGGGCACTTAACCACTGAACCACATTCCCAATCCTTTTTATTTTTATTATATTTATTTTTTTGTAGTTGTACACAGTAACTTTTATTTATTTATTTAGTTTTATGTGGTGTTGACAATCGAACCCAGGGCCTTAAACATGCGAGGTGATCGCTCTATCGCTGAGCCATAACCCCAGCCCCAATCCTTTTTATTTTTTGAGACAGGGTCTTGCTGAATTGCCTCACTAAATTGCTGAGGCTGGTCTTTTTTTTTTTTTTTTTTAAGTATTTTCCTAGTTGTTGATGGACCTTTATTTTTTATTTATTCATTTATATCCAGTGCCTCATGCATGCTGGATAAACCCTCGACCACTGAGCTACAATCCCAGCCCATGAGGCTGGTCTTGAAGTTGTTACAATCTTCCTGTCTCAGGCTCCAGAGTTGCTGGGATTAAAGGTGTGTGCCACTACACTTGGCTGAAGAGGTTCATTCTTGTTGATTTTGTGGTTTGGGGCATCAGGGATTAAAACTAAGGGCACTTAACCACTGAGCCACATCCCCCAGCCCTTTTTATTTATTTATTTTTGAGGAAAAGGAAGAAGTTTTATTGCTTTGCTAGCACACGGAAAACAAAGATGACTCCTGTCTCAGAGTCTGTGATTCTGTCTTATTTTTAATTTTGAGGRCCTCRCTAAGTTGCTGAGGCTGGCTTGGAATTTGTGATCCTCCTGTCCCAGCCTTCTGAGTTGCTGGAATTATAGGTGTTCACCACTGTGCCCAGCCTGATTGATTTTTTTTTAACTGCCTGCAAGGAGGCAAAATACAAGCTGAAAAACCAGTGAGGAAACTATTGCAGACCTGCAAGACTAGTGTTAAAATGGACATGATATGAAGTGGTTGGACTCAGAATATACTTTGAAAGTGGCATAGAAATGCTTGTTAATAGATTGAATGTTAGATGTAAGAAAGAGTCAAGGATATCTCAGATTGACTTGAGTAACTGRATAAATAGCAATGCTTTTTACTGAGAGCATATGGGGGAATAGAAACAGTTTTTTGGGGAAAACATTTAGTTCTATTTTAGAGGTGTTAAACTGGAGATGCCTATTAAATTTCTAAATGGAGCTACTGAATAAACAATTAGAAATATGTATGTGGAGCTCACAGAAGGGAAAACTGTARGGATAAATTGGGGAGTCATTACAAATTATAAATGGTATAAATAGCAGTGGGATGGGGAGGGCTCAGTTAATKTGGAAGAGAAGAAAGCTAATGACTGAGACCTTTAATTGTGAGGCATTACAACTAGAAGGATCAGAGAAGAGGAGCATTCAGCAAAAGTTATCAAAAAGGAGTAGTCAGGAAAGAAAGCTAAGAAAATCAGGAGTGAAAGGTCTTACAAAACACATTCCCAAAAATGTTCCATGATGTGCTGGATAAGCTGCATCGCTCCCACTCAAAAGACCGAAGATGATTAAAAACTGACCAACAGACTTTAAAAAAATGGAGATTTAAGATTTTGGCAAGAGTGGTTTTAGTGAAGGTTAGGGGACCAAAAGCCTCATCCTCCATGATCTGGTTTTTTGTATCCATCCCTTGGTGAATACCATTATTATTCCCACCCAACCAACTGCCATTAGCACTAAATTTTCCCATTCTCATTTGGGCTGTCCTGTTAAATTTGAGGTTGTGATAATTATGTCTTCAAGATACTCAATCATACGAATTTCGGTGACACTATTTTCCATGGCTGAATTTATATMATCCCATTGATCATTTATTTCATTAGCCTCTCTTCCCTTTTAGTCTACACATTCTTCCAAAGTGACTGTATCTGTTTTTACAGTTTAAACTACCATCCACATACTTTGACTTTCAAGTCTTTACTTGGAAACCCAGGCTTCTCTTTTAAGATGTAGACTCACAGACTTGATGGATGACACTTTTTWAAAAAACAGCTTTATTAAGATATAATTTACGTACAATTCACTCAAAGTGCACAACTCTCAGATAAGTGCAACCATCCCCACAGCCAATTTTAGAACCTTTTCATCACCTCAAATAGAAACCTAGGGCAACTCTAAGGGGGTCCCTTCTTGACCTGTGAGAGTTCTCTCTCTTTTCTTCTTAAATGAATAAATCCTACTTTTTAATTTTGGTAGTATACAAGGAGGAGAAGGAGAAGAAAGAAACCCAATACTTTAGCTATCACCTGCCCCCAATTTCCCATGCTGTTACCATTCCTAAGAAACTATTATTTTCTGTCTCTATAAATTTCCATATTYTGAACTTAATATTTGTCCCCTTTGCAATGGTATCAGTGATTGAAACAGGGGTACTCTACCACTGAATCACATACCCAGCCTTTTTATTTTGAAACATGGCCTTAATAAGTTGCTGAGACTGGCTTGGAATTCTCTTGCCTCAGACTCCAGGGTTGCTGAGATTACAGGTGTGCATTGTATCTGGCTTTATTCTGAACTTTCATATGAATTGAATTGTATAGTATGTGGTCTTTTATGACTGGCTTCTTTCACTTAGCAGTTTTTCAAGTTTCATTCTTGTTGTAGCATGTATGAGTACTGAAAGGAAAGTGACCACAACACTCGGAGCAACCAAGAGAGCTTTATTGCAGCAGTGCCAAAGAGGAGAAAGAGAGAAAGAAAAAGAGGGAGGGGAGGAAAGAGAAGAGAGAGATGGAGAGGAAGAGAGCACGCGCAAGAGAGAGCAAGAGAAAGGAGCCCCACAGGAGGGAGTTTTTATAGCCAAATTCTAATGGGGTCTCTGGGTCTGCAAGCTGCCTTGTTGGCACAGGGGGGTTAAGTGTTCAGCCTTGGGGGGGGGGCTTGGGCGTTTGGGCTTGAAGCAAACAGGTGATAAAGAACCAGACAGAGGGTTTGAGTGGCCAGGTCACCCTGCAGCTAACTTTGTTTGGCATGCCCTGCAGACAGCTTACTCAGCCTGTCCTGCACCTAACAAATACTTCATTTCTTATGGACAAACAACATTCTGCTGATTGACATTGGATTTTCACTTTTTGGCTATTATTATTTTTTATTTTTCTTGCTGGTGACTGAATCTAGGAGTGCTCTACCACTCCTAGATTCAGTCACCAGCAAGAAAAATTTAAAAAAAGGAGACTCCCTTTCTACTTTTTATTTTGAGACAGGGTCTTGCTAAGTTACTTAAAGCCTCGATAAATTGCTGAGGTTGGCCTTGAACTTTCCATCCTCCTGCCTCAGTTTCTAGAGTCGCTGGGATTAAAAGGCAATGGACCACCATACCTGGCTAAATTTTTGGATAATATGAATAATCCTAATATGAACATTCACGTGCAAGTTTCTGTGTGGATCCATTTTCATCTTTGATATGTACCAAGGAATGAAATTGGTGGATCATGTTTAATTCTGCTTACATATCTGAGGAATTCCCACTGTTTTCCAAAGCAKTCACAGCAGCAAAGTATGAAGATTCTGATTTCCCCTCATCCTTTGTAATACTTGTAATCTCATTATGTTGATTCTAGTCATCCTAGGAGGTTGTGAAGTGGGATCTCAGTGTGGCTTTCATTGCAATTATCTGAAGACTAATGATGTCAAGCAAATTTTTCATGTGCTTTTTGGTCAATTTTATGCCTTCTTTGGAGGAATGAGTATTCAAAGTCTTTGTGCACTTTAAAAAATGGGTTGTCTTTCATTATTGAGAGTGTACATTCTAGACACAATTCCCTTATCAGATATGTAGTTTGCCAGTATTCTCTCCCTTTCTGTGGATTGTCTTTTCAATTTCTTTTTTTTTTTTTAAAGAGAGAGAGAGGGAGAGAGAATTTTAATATTTATTTATTTTTTTAATTTTATCGGTGGACACAACATCTTTGTTTGTATGTGGTGCTGAGGATCGAACCCGGGCTGCACGCACGCCAGGCGAGCGCGCTACCGCTTGAGCCACATCCCCAGCCCCTCAATTTCTTTTTTTAAAATATTTCTTTAGTTGTAGTTGGACTCAGTATCTTTATTTATTTATTTTTATATGGTGCTGTGGATCAAACATG